CAAAATATGGTAAATTGAAAAAGATGACACAAAGAGCATTAATACAGGCATTTTGGTAAATTCATGGGATGCACAAGAAAAAAAATACACTGAAAATAATTTCACTAAGCATTGTATTTCAAACAGTTCCATCTTATAGAAACATTAACTTCCTTCCATTTATATGTGATACTCAAACTATGGTTGTTGCATTCATACTCAACTATGTCAACTCGTTATGTTTTTCATGTATTTCCAGAAACTATCTTTATCTCGTTCATCAATTGTTCTTGTTTTGACATATATCTAATACTAGATAATATTTTAACTTTCATCATCTCTCATGTCATGGTTAACTGAATTTTATCAAGTAGTTTTGATACCAATTGTATCACCTCGTAATTTAATTTATTCGTAAAAAAACTTTGAACGTTAACTTAAAAAAAAGGTACTATTTTTTTTTTCTGCCTAACTTATTAGAGACTTGCTGAAATTTATGCTGAAATTTCAGCAGAGTTTTCCTTATACCCAGAGGTTCCAAGTTATCGATAATCATCCTGTACACTTATAGTCATTTCTCAATCATATCATAATCACGTAGAACCTCAATAACATAACATTTTGCATGTTCATTTCTTTCCCATTAACGCACATAATTCATAATAATTGGAAGTAAACAAACATTAAGATTACAAATACAACATAATATATTTTTACGTTCCTACAGTTAATGTAAAAGGAATACTATTATATATTAAGTCATTTAGTTCCTTAAAGATAAAATACATTAATGTTTATTTTCTTATTTAATTATACAAAAGGAGACTAAAGGGCCTTAAACAATACTCCTGGCATAAATCTGAATGACCTGCAATTTTATAATGTATAGAATGAATATAGTAAGAATCAAATATAGCATAAAAGGAAAATCAAATAATACATGCACAAGTAATTAAATATATATTCAACGACATACAATTATATTATAGTTCTTTGAAATTCTCATTTAACCTTTCATTATCATGTCTCTATTCATCATTCCTGGAATTATTCAAATTTTTTATTTTGTGTCTTGTTTCACCTTACGAGCGCTTTTAATTCGTTATAATATCTACCATGTGATTTCTCTCACTCTTACTCTCTATTTCTTTATATCAATTTCAATCCCAATATCTATTATACCCATTATGGCTTTTCCATATAAATCGTCAAACCAATCATGTTTTCGGTTCAATTTTGGTTTATAAATATATTCAACTTATATATTTTTTGTGTCTATTTTGGCATATCCCAATGTTTCTTTAGATTTTTAGTAAAATCTCCCCTTATCATGGAACCTACCATCATTTTCATAATATTCATATTCAATCCATCTTTAAATAATATGAATATCATACATACATCAATCTATTTAATTCATCAACCTAATCTCTTTTGGCCACCATAATTAAGGCCAAATTTAATTATTTATCACTATTATTGGCATTTTATTACACTGTTATAATTACCACCAAATTCTTATCATGCCAGCAACAACACAAAACCTCAATACAGCATATTTACATTATTAGTTATAATTTCTTTAACATCCTCAATATGCACAACACATGATTCTCAAATTGCATCAATTATAATTCATCAATTAATTCTCTCTCTCTCTCTCTCTCTCTCTCT